CCAGAAAACTTGTGCCACGCAAAAGGAACTCCTAGCACAGACAGAAGAAGTATGGATGCCAGGATTCTCAACAGCCCATCGGAAGACTGGGTGATCCATAACAGGTCATCCACGTATGACAAGAGACTCGTCTCGTCCTTGCCATGGCAATAGCCTACCCAAGCCTGCCATCAAGCGGAACCACCAGTAACTCGCGCTACTGATGCCGAACGTCCCCACAGCATTCAGGAATACAGGGCCACCTTTACGTGCACGGCACGCTTGACGTGGCCAGTCCTGTTCACGTACCTTGGATAAGCGATGTGCCCTGGAAATGTCACCGCTCAAGCTGAAGGTAGCATATGGCAACGAGTGCAAGGTCGCCTCGAGATCAGCACCCGAAGGATAAGCCTGCCCATCCCTGACCCTAATGGAGTCGTTGACATGCTGCCCGTGGGCCCCATCATGTACGACTCGCACGGAGCCGTCTGTTTTGGGGATGCAACCCAAAGATGCAATGGACAGCCGATCCCCAAAGAGCTCCTGAGCCTCACGCAGATCCATTTTTACCATTGCACCCAGGGCGATCTCTTTCTCGAACTGTTGCTCGACCTTAGCTTCGAAGCCATCCACCGAACGATAGTTGTCCCGAAGCTCCTCACACTCATGACCGTGAAGTCCCGGTGGCGATCCACTCCCAGCGGCACCCCATTAGCGAAAGAATGTTTTGATTCAGTGTACTGTCTCCAGTCTGGACCGTCCGCCATCCGAAGCAGCTCCGAGATTGCATGCAAGTAAAAGGGTTGTCGCTCCGGAACCAGTTCCAGCGGTGCAGTGGAGCCTTGATCTCGCAGGACTCCGAAGACCAGATGCCTGGCCCGCTTCAGCAGGTCCTCCGAGAAAGGTGAAGAAACGCACTTGCCAGTTGCCAAGAAACAAACCACTGTCTTGTAATCGATGTTAGCAGTGACGAAGCTCAAAAGTTTGTCCATCAAGGATTTATGAAGGGAGAGCCCTGGATCCAGGTCCGCACACGGCCGGGCGTGCGGCGGCCATCTCCCAGGCGAGGCCAAGCCATGGCCATCCGAGAAGAGCTTGACCTTGCCAGCAGTTCGCGTCGTCATAGCAGCGCCAAAGCCAAGCTTGCCCGAGCCCCGCTTGGGCTTGACACGCCCGTCTTCATCCTCTTCTGATGTTGAACCTTCAGCATCTTGAAGCCAACGTCCTTTAGGACGCGAGCCCTGCCACCATTCCGCAGG